AGAGGTTTTCTTAACATTCGGAAAGCACATCTTATACCTTGAAGGTTGATTTTTAAGAAATGTTCTAATCTGACTGGATGTCGAAACTTCATCAAAGGTCGACCGAAAAGCGTGATCAAAAAAGAACCATTGTCGATGGCGATTCGTGGTTAAGTAACTGTTTTTCTGGTCTTCATCCGTCGTTTGTCAAGTTTGGAGCTGCATCTGTGTTTCCGTCTGCTGATGGAAAATTCGTTCGAGAAAATCGTATAAACGTTTTAATAATTAGATGTACATGGTCACCTCCGTGAAGAATACAGCTTTGCCATGACAGCCAGTAATGCGTACTATTAATTCGAAACACCGTTTCAACCAAATAACACGTTCTTATGTTGCACATCTATGTTTAGATGAAAATTATCATAAAATATTTTAGCTGACCATTTTACGCCTTCGTTCTTTGTTGACCTCTTCATCGCTCTCTCTTCCTCTAATTATTTTCTTCTGAAATACCATTCCCGTTTTCTTATGATGTATCCCATCTGCCATGGTCATAAAGAGAATTTTAAAAATATTAATTTACAGTTTTAATTTTGTACTGATTTTACGGCCAACTGTCAGGTGCGACAGAGCTGGCTATTATTTTTAGTTTCAGTATCGGATTTTAAGATGTTGTAACAAGGTGTAAATAGAGTTGTTTCTCAGCAGAATGAGTTGACATTATTCGCAAGCAAAATCAAAACAAATATGATTATATATAAAGAAAGCCGGTAAGTTTCGATGGCCGCTTATCCTTCATCTTCATCTTCTTCTCCTTTCGGGTCGCTGAGGCAGACGCGTCAAAAAAATGTCTCTAACGTGCCAGATCTTGTGCCCTCTTTTAAGCTTCGGCAGTTGATAACCCGAATCTGCAGCACAGTCCTTCGAGGTACCTCTCCGACATCATTCTTGACCGTTTCCAGCGTCTCTGACTCAATATTCAGAAAGCGTGTGATTTCTTGTACTAGACTGCTTTAAAATTATTCCTGATTCCTTCAGTAACTGGATTTAATAGTTGTGTTTGCATCCTATCTACCAGTAGCCTGGAAAAAAATTTCAGAACCAGGCTGCCGTTTCATGGCAGTTGCGATACTACACCTGAAGTACTCTGTGCCTTTCAGATCAATTTACTCGCTACATTGATTTTTGCTCACCAGTCATATGCTCCGATATACGTGCTGCCAGGTAATATACTCCTTATATATTACCATTGAAATGTCAGAAATTTGGGTTTATTCTGCGAAATGTGCTATTGAGTACCTGACTCTTCGAAAACTCAAAATTTTCAAGCGAATTAAACGATACAGGATGCATCTGTTGGTTTCACGTGTTTCAATACCATGCAACATGTTGCTTTTGCGGTGTCGATCGTATTCCTTTTTAATAGCAATTGAACTCTTATTATTAGTAATTTTATATGATCAATTAATTTATTGGTATTCTGTCAGTAAGATGTATAATTTTGAAGTACTGCTATTTTGTACCAAATTATAACACGCAGAGTCGTTTAGAGCCAGCAACTGCTGTCGCAATAGAAACCGTTGAAAACGCTCAAAATGACGATGCCGAGAAATCATCTGAAGAACCTCACGACAAAGCAATGGTAACTTTTTAATTATGAACTAAACATAAATCTGATGCTCTTTGGTAGCTGCTACATCGTAGCTTTCCATTTCAACTGATAATCATGACATTTCATTTTCTGATGTCGGAGAGTAGCCGCACTACCTACTTGCTTAGAGGACCACTTAAGGAGGTCTTAACTTCATGGTATCTGAGCATCTGCAATGCGTTGAATGCAGGATCGCATCTCTGAATTGGGCTGACCTAGGGTATATTTGAACATCAGCTAGGTTTGCTACTCTCCATAGACAAATATATTACGAATATAATTTAAAACATAATTCCACTATGTTGCCTTAGCTGTCACATTGTAGTTGTCCAGTTCCGTACGTAATCGTAACTTTTCTAATTGTTTGTTTACTTTTTTTTCTGTAGTTTATGCTAGTTCAGTACTTCTTATTTGAAGTATAAATCTTTCAAACAGATGGTCTTTGGATTCAGTGGTTAATGTCAAAAGAGGACGTGAATAGGTTGGTTTGTGCCTACATTTCGAACAAACCACAGTGCTTTAAATCGAGGCTTGAAGAATTCGTTTCAGTGCCAATAACCATTCAACTAGAAGACCTAATTTGGAGGAGTCTTGTAAGTTTCCTATTCTTTGGTTTTCTGAAGCGATTTCAGTCTAAGAACCACTTTGGTTTTAGTGTAGAGTTTAAACTATGCACAACTTTCGCATACGGGAAAGCATTTGTTCAGCAGTTCTGTCTAGAGATGATTTTTGTCGGAACTGCGCTTCGGTTGAACGCTGGTCAGTAAAGCCTTATGCCCGTTATGTATGCATAGTTATAACTGGCACTATTCGGTTCCTTCATGAAAGAATTTGGTTAGGGCAAAGTTTGTTATCAATTTGTTTTATATTCGTAGCTGGGTTGTATGTTGAAATTTTTGTCTATGGACGACCTCTTCGTATTGCGGCTTTGTATATAAATAGATTTCTTCTGAGTACGATCATCTGCTAAGCAAAATTTTCGGCTGTAGGTTGGGGAAGTTGCTCTTGACCTAAGTGTGGTCCCAAGCGAACTTTTACTATATTATGATTTTTCTCTGGGTAAATGTTTAACCTTGAAAAGACTTTTACAGGGGTGTACTTTGGTCATAAAGACCTTACCCTGGAAAAGGGAAATTGTGTGTGGGAGGACTTTGTTTTACCAGTCTTTGACTAAGGAATGTCACCCTTTTTGTAGGAAAGCCGAAGCTGAGCTTTCGAAGTCTCTGGTCTAGGAAAATATCTGGTGCAAAAAGTCTCATATTCCCTGTTTCAGGCCTGACTACTTTGTTGTTTCAACAAAATGAAGTTTGGTAGAATGCCCTTGGGTTAATTTTCCAGTGAAAAGTCGCTGGAATAAAGTCAGCGCCTCCAGTGATTCAGTTTTTGCTTTTGATTATAGAATGCACGCACGTAGTTCATCAAGCGAGTCCTTTCGTACCCAGCACAATAATAATTTGCTTGTCATGTGTTCTTTGGAGTCAAAGCCTCAACAGTGTCAAACTTGATTATCCTTTAAGATCTTGCATATGATCAGACAGTTGTCGTCAACGTCACTTGATATAACTTCATCTGAAATGCGACTGTCGTTGAATTCTGCAGGCCTCCCTCTATCATTGATTTAGTGCATCCTCACAGCTAAATTCTGTACTCATGTGTCAAAATGACAAACAAAAGTCACGGCTACCACTTTTACGGTTCATCCGCAACCATTGTTACGATCGAGATATAATCACTTTGTTGTCTTCCTAGAAAAATGCTGACCACAGTACTCCCAAATTAGAGCCCATTTTTCTACCGATTATGGTATGGTTACAGTTCAGTGCAACCGCTGCCTGAAGCTATAGGCTTTGTGCAGTGCTTCTGACGCTGAATGGTGATGATTTTGCTTCAGTGATTATTGATCATCATCCTTATCATTAACAGCAGTGGCGGCAGCGTCTTCGCCACCGAGTCATAATTTATGACTAAGGTAGAAATGTTGCGTGAAATTACTTTCGTAGCGCACATTGTCCTACCAGCTTTGCGGCTTATCTCCTCGTCCCACTAGTTACGGCGAAGTCGTTAGGACAGTACCTTACTCTTGACCAAGTATTCATTCCTGCAGCTGAATTTTCTAATAAATAATTTTTAGGTCAAGACAGAATTCCAGGCCACTATGCTTCAGACTATGGAAAAGGTTATTTCGCCGTGATATGCGACCGCTTAGTTTGGTAGATTTCCGCCTTCCGCTGCAGGGAGTACTTTTGCGGGGCCGTCTTTAACCTTGACGATTACCTAGTGATTGTCTCACCTTGTTTAATTGACAAGATGTCGTGTTAATTCTGGTATCCATCGATTTAGCATGTGGTCTGTTCATATTTTTTCAATTTATACAGTTTTTACTGGATTGCATATTAACAATAAAAAATAATTTACAGATAGTTTAAAACGACCCTCATCAGTGTAGTTGGAGGCTGATGTGAGAAATTTCAAGGGTTGGACGCTTATTGGGCGTAAGTATAGTGTAATCTAGCCACGTCATTAAATTTCTTCTTTGCCATAATTGATTTGGTCAAGGACATGGGTATCAATCCTTACTCCATTAGATTTGTCATTTTGCTTCCTTTGCCTCTATGTCATATGCAACACTGGTTTCAAGCGATCATCACAGTTACGGTCTATAAAACGCTCTGTTATGGTAGTACTTTTTCCCCGTTGATGCGTTTAATCTTTCTTCGTAAATCCGTCATAATGGAAGGCGGATTTTTTATTTCTGAAGATGATCTCGCTGTTAAACCGTAATGTCAAGCATCCTTTATATAGTGACCGTTCGACTTGTTGAATATCCTATGTCACAGTTTATTCGTGATGGCATGTCTTGGAGCCGGCAATTGGTCCCTAATTTGTTGTTTTTTGTCGAAAGAATGATCACGGTTAATTCTGTTGCGTTTCAGACGAGAAGCGAAAAGCTTAAATTGAAGAAAAAGAGAAACAAACAGCGAAGACGCGAAAGGAAGCAAATGGAAAGGGAGCAGAATAAAGAAAAGGAGCAGGAAGAGGATGTGGACGATGACAAGGATGAGGCGATGGATAGTGTCAATATCGAGTAAGTGTAGATGAGATTTTCTTATGTGTAAAATGGCACTGGAGTTGTTTTATTGCTGTGTGCGTTTTTATACTTCTTCGGGTTGATTAGGATCTGTGATTAGGCAGCGAATCAACTACAACTATTTCTTATAGATACGTTTCTGAACCACCTGACCAGTCTGATCCTATGTACATTTATTTCATGAAGATATTTGAGGCTTTTAAGGTAAATAAATGTTCTCTTTGTTTCTGCCTTTCTTTTGGAACGCGATTAGAAGACAGTCCGTTATCTCATTTTTGTGCAGATCGCTCCAGCCGAAGAACAGATCAAGGACGAGAAAAGCCAGGCAGACATCGAGAAGTGGAATCGCGAGTACATGGCTCCAAAGGCGGCCATCGTCGAGCGCATCGTTCAAGAGGAAGAAGAAGCGAAGCAAGAAAAGCTTAAGGAGGATGCTGATAAGCCAAAGTTGTCCAAGAAGAAGATGCGCATTCTGATGCGACCCAGCATCGGTGAACTGAAGGCGGTATGTATTTTCCGTGACATTTAAATTGGACTTCAACTGAACTAATCTTTTTTCCATAGACCACCAACCGACCAGATGTGGTGGAATGGCATGATGTAACGGCAAAGGATCCAAAACTGTTGGTCCATCTAAAAGTGAATATCTTATATATTTAAGTCGTAATTAAAAACATTTATTCTGCTTTATAGTCGGTTAGGAATACTGTTCCGGTTCCACGGCACTGGTGTTTCAAAAGGAAGTATTTGGCCGGAAAACGAGGTTTCGAGAAACCCCCCTTCGACCTTCCTGAATTCATTAAGAAAACTGGCATAATGGAGATGCGGCAGGCACTTCAAGAGAAAGTAAATCGAAAGCTTTATGGCTCTCTGGAGCTGGAGTCCTTTGAGGATTATTAATTATCAATTATACGGCCATATAGGAGGATCAAAAGTCGCTAAAATCGAAGATGCGCGAGAAGATCCGTCCGAAATTGGGAAAAATCGACATCGACTACCAGAAACTGCACGATGCGTTCTTCCGGTGGCAGATAAAACCAAAAATGAGCATCGTCGGTGACATGTATTATGAGGTATGCATTAATGTTGTTTGCTCTATGACAGCTTTTCCCGTTGCTGTGTAATCTGTCAGTACCCGCTGTCTGCTTGAGGCAACAGTTGTAGACTGCACATCTTGAAAATGACCTTAGAAGTATGTCTTGGACGGAAACCTGAAGAAATTATCTCAGGTTCTATTTTACTTTCTTATTGGAAATGAAGGAATGCCTATTAAAGGGGTGTAATTCCTAAAATACAAATGGTACAAATCACGTTCCATCGAAGGATTGTTCAAAGGAAATCAGATCTAAGAAGCTGTAGGATATTGTAATCCAGAACACTTTCATTTGGGAGTCACAGCTTCTAGGTGGTGATTTCACGGTAAGCTCAGAACCCTCTTCTCAAAAAATTTTGTTTGTTTAAATCTGATTAGGTTGACTTTGCTTGTGAGGGATCTTCCTCATTTTCTAGTTCTCATTCTTCCCCATGTTCATCACCCCCATCCCCATCTTCATCATCATTATTACACAATGTTACCAGTAATGGTGTGAAACGTCGGCTGTTACCTACACCTCTCCATCTGTATCTTGCTATCTACGTAGGGTTAACATGACTCGATAATATTGCAGTACTGTTGGCTAATCAGTTGTCAAAAGCCTAGTTTTAGTTGCATTGTCATTCCTAGTTTCGTACTTCATCTTTACCAGTTGAAATTGTCGTCATCTGTTCTTCACCATAGTGATTTCACGGTAAACTTAGAACCATCTCATCAGCGAATTTTGTTTCGTTTAAATCTGATCAGGTTGACTTTGTTTGCTCTGGGTACAGAGGGGGATCCATACATGCCCATAGTTGCGGATAGATGTCAAGCGAACACTTGAAAATAGTACCAAGCTGTTCCAACAACAATTAGGGTTAGTTTGCAGACGATGTGGGCGATTCCACAAATCCGCCTGTAACCTTAGAGTTGTTGGCTTCACCTGAAATTCAACGAATTTATCTTAGGAAAAACCAGTAGAATCCGCTAATTTATGTATGACCTACATCTGTGCATAATTTTTTGTATCATCGACACTACGTCTTCCTCATTATACTGAAAAGTCTGTTTTTTGTCATTGCTTGATGTACTCCATCATTAGGTATCGTACTAAAGTTTCCCCGCTGTTGATGTTGGAACAAAGCCTGATAGTAGTGTCGTTTTTACTAAATTAAATGTGTAGTCTTAATTGTTGAACAGCTAGGGTTGGGACTTCTACTGTTTTACGGTGCATTACATGGCTTCCATGTCCTTGCGTAAATTTCATAATATTTGTATGTGGCGTTGCGTCTCGAGCCTGTGAAGAGATTCGAGTTGCTTGCTGCCTCCTTCATGGTCCAGGTTTCTTAGTGGTAGTTTACAACCGACCAAATTAAAGATAAAGAAGACGAAGCAAGCCTCAGTTTGATGGTGTTTAAAATCATTTGAGTTTTTCGATTTCTTTTGATGAAGTTCGCTTGCCGTCATTGATAAGGGTGATAATTTTTTCTAGTTGTTTGTGCGTTTCTGTGGTCTGCAGCATTATCTGACTGTAGACTTTTGGTTCCTGACACTTTTCTATATAGGGCAAAGAGTTCGAGACGAAGTTACGCGAAAAGAAACCAGGCGAGCTTTCGGACGAACTTCGTATCGCATTGGGGATGCCTGTTGGGCCGGTAAGTAGACCTTTTGTTACCACTTCATCTAACTCTCTCAAATTAATATATGTCACACTGTTTGCCGAGTGTTTGCGTTATTGTGTAATTACTCCTTTGATTGTTACGAGTCTATATTAATGCTTTTATCGTTTACAGAATGCCCATCGCTTTCCTCCGCCGTGGTTGATTGCCATGCAGCGTTACGGGCCGCCACCGAGTTACCCCAACCTGAAGATCCCTGGCCTGAACGCTCCCATCCCTGAGGGCTGTGCCTTTGGATATCACGCCGGAGGCTGGGGGAAACCTCCGGTAGATGAAACAGGGCGTCCGCTGTACGGCGATGTGTTTGGCCTTGATCTCCCGTCTCAACCGGTAATGATGCGTGATAATCGTTCTCTAGCATTTTTCATTTGTTCGCATTAGTCGCTTCAAGAAGACGAGGAAATCGAGCACAGACCGTGGGGCGAGCTGGAAAGTGAGGAGTCTTCAAGCGAGGAGGAGGTGGAATCAGAGGATGAAGAAAAGGAGGAAGATATCACTGGTCTGGTCACCCCGGCGGAAGGGTAATTCTTCAGGATAAACCCTGCGACATCGCTTTCTATTACCGTGCTTTAGACTGATCACTCCAAGTGGTATTTCATCGGGCATAACGACTGGTCTCGAAACACCAGACAGCATCGAACTGCGTAAAAAGAAACTGCAAGAGGAAGGGTAAATGTCAAATATTCTTCCTACGTATTTTATATTTGCTTTTTACATATATTGTTTTCATTGAAGTGGTGAAACCCCTGCTCTTTACACCGTGTTGCCGGAGAAGAAAACAGAGAAAATCGGTTTGCAGATGATGGCTTCCACTCATGTGTACGATTTGAGCGCCGCGCAGCCGGGTGTTTCTGGAAAAAAGGAGGGAAAAGTCACTGAGGGAGGCGTCGAGGTGTCGCTGAATCCCGATGAACTTGATCTTGCCGATGCAAGTGGACTTCAGCAAAAATACGAAGAAGGTCTCCGCCAGCAGCAACTCGGTAAAGAAGAAGATTTTTCGGACATGGTCGCTGAGCACGCAGCTCGACAAAAAGTAACGCTCTTTGTTTCCATAATTTGTGTGTGAAAAGTTAATTATGTTATAGTAGTTTTTCTTAACGTAGTTTGTTCGCTTTCTTTTTATTTAATACAAATGTAATATACAATATCAGTATAATATACTGTAACCTCTTTTCTTTATCCCATTATTATACATTTTTCAAAAACTTAAACCGTGAGTTAAGAAAATAATGAGTATAATAATTGAAATAGCAGAGAATCGATATCTCTTTCCATACTTTATTTATTTTCGGAGGTCATTTTTCAGTTCACGTTTAGGTTATAAAGCTTCTATTTTCTCAAAGCATATGGCTTTGGGCTTTCTAGGAAATAATCATTTATTTTATTTAGACGTTTCGGATGTCAACACAGAAGTCATCATCAGGTAAATTTTTTGCAACACAAGTTTACGATATACAATTAAATAGTCAAGTACGGAAAAATTACGGAACAGTCGAGGTGTTTAAGACACAAGCAAACTTGAAGGAACTTAACAAAGAGGTTGAATTAGGTTTTAAAACTAGAGCGGTCAAGAAAGTCGTGAAAATTAATGAGAAAGTGTTATTTATTTTGGCTACATTGTAGATTTCCAAGTCATATAGATATCAGCAACCTTGAGTGTGAAGAGGACATTCTTAACCTACTCATTAAAAAGTCTGTACGTATTTTACTT